AACTGAGACATATTTTATACTAACTAAATTAAAGAATCGGAAAAATAGAAAAGGGATGAATTGGGGATAGTCCATATAGTGGGACATATATATATATATATATATATATATGTAAATATGTTTATTTATGTATATATAATATACATATGCATATGTACAACTTCAAATTTGTAACCGTGTGGACTTCCGAAAGCCGATTATATGTGTTCAAACGTGATTATAGCAAACAAAATAGGTATGCACATGGTCATATATTTATGTATATAAATACATAGACTCATAAACAAGCTTTACTTACATTTTGCGGCACGGCCAAAAGCAAAATATGCACCATTTCTATTGTATATATGTATATGTATTTAAATTTATATACATATGTGCGTACATACGGTTATTCAGTTAGAGGGAGTTAGACACTCAAGTAGTTTTAAGAACTTCACTTTTTATCACTTCTCAGAATAATTTGCATGTTATCAAACTTGAACAAATACACCAAAACAATAGCATATACCTAAGAAAATAGCTTAAAACTTGTAAGCATGGTTTTGTGAACTATCCAAAAAAAAATTCGAAAATATCTTTTTCATTTGAATTTCGCCATATTATAACCATGCACATCGCGACTAACAGAGTGTGTATGAAAACTTTCACAAAGCAACAGGTAGCGTGTGCGCCTTCCAAAACTCGACTGACGATTGAGCATGGAGCTTTGTACCATGTTATTTGTGAATTTGTTGAAGTGGAAGACGGCAGTTTAAGATGGGCAGCTACATCAACCGTCGGCTTAATCAGTTTTTACAAAAGTCTCTCGTACTTGATTGTTTGCATTGTTTGTCTATAACGAACAGCTGCATGACTTGTATATATACGTACATACGCTTACTTCATTACATACAACCATATGTGCATAAATACATGCATACAAACTACTAAATATGTATTAATTTTAGTTAGTCAAGTTGGCACACAAAGTTCCATGGAGTTATCTTCATTTCTGCAGCAAACCCATTCTAGCACGGCTTCCGGCAATAACCTTGATACTCTAAAAATTTCTTGGAATTTTCAAACATTTTTCAAAAGGGTATTTGACTTACTTTGGAAACATTAAAAATTTTAAAAATATTTTGGATAATCATCGAAAGCTATGATATTTCATGGTACTTGTAACTATTAAAACTTGATTTCTTTTTTGATATATTTTTTTCCAATTTCAAATTTTGGGTATGGGGCATATTCATAAGCAATTTTCTCAATAAAAATTAACTTTGTCCTAATCATAGTCCAGTTAGAATCGGCTTTTCACCTAAAATTAGAGGGGTAAATGCTGTTACTTAGCGGAAATTCAGAGATGCCTTCCATGCATATTTTTTCTTGTTTACCATTCGCAGGCCTCTTTTCGTGTACATGAAAGTTTATAAGTTTTCACTAACAATCCTCTCGAATAGTCTAATTTTATTCGCTTTATTATCCCAATCACAAATGTGTATATAGAATTTATATCGTTATTATTTCAAAATGTTGCCAATAATTATTAATATGAGTTTTTTCAATTTAAAGCACTAAAAAAGAGGAAAGAAAAGAAAAACTCCGAATAAACGTCGAAAAGAGAGAGTGATATTAAATTTGTTCGTTAAGAAAAGTCCTAATTCTTACGGACCAGTAATGTAAGAGAAAAGGATGGCTTACTCTCATAATAACTCCTTATTCTACACTTTGTATAAATAAATTTAAAGTTACAAATAAAATTTCATGAGTATACATATGTTCAAGCTGACGTCACCTCCGTTTACTACAGTCCAATAAAGGAGGGTGAATTGGATGTCGGTTTTGGCCAAAGATGCCTTTTACGAGCGCTTTAGTGTACTAATGAGCCACGATGTCAAAATTGGGCTTTGGTGACTTCAACGCCAGGGTGAGCAAAGAAGGTATATTTGGTGTAACAGTCGGAAAATTCAGCCTCCACATCCATACATCTCCAAATCGGTTGAGGCTAATCGTCTTCGTCGAGGCCCGAAACATGGTTGTCTGTAGTACTATATTCCAGCACAAATACATTAAGCTACTTGGCTGTCCCTTCATCGAAAAACACATTACCAGATCGATCATATTGTTATAGACGGAAGACATGTATATCAAAGAACGCCTGGAAAAAACACACTCCTGCTCTTTGAGAGCACTCATCGGAAAATCGGTAGAGGACAATTGTGGGACGGCATTTCAAGCTCTTTACGTACAGCTGCAAATGGAATCATTGGATTTGGAAAAGAGCGCAAAAACAGCTGGTACGATGAGGACTGTCGTCCTAACCTAACTATGGCGAGATTCGAATATCAATCTCCCGCTTAAAAAAAAAACAAAGCGGCTGGAGTTGACGGCCTACCGGCAGAACAATTCAAACACGGCGGTGAAGAGCTGAAAAGGTGCATGCATCATCTACTTTGAAGAATATATTCTGGCGAAAGCATGGCCGAAGATTGGATTTTAAGTGTACTCTGAATTTGATATCCCCGCAAAGCTTATACAGTCATAACTTTGAAGTCGTAAATAGCTTCATCTATTTTGGAAACAATATTAACACCAACAACAATTTCAGCATGGGAATCCAGCGCAGAAACATTCTTGCAAACAGGTGCTCCTTTGGATTGAGTAGGCAGTAGAAAAGTAAAGTTCTCTTTTGACGAACGAAAACCAAACTCTAAAAGTCGCTTACCGTTACCGTTCTGCTATATGGTACAGAGGCATGGGCGATAATAACATCTGTTGAGTCTGCGTTAGGAGCTTTGGAGTGAAAGATTTTGGGTACGAGTTGCAAACGGCGAATACCGCAGCCAATGGACTAATGTGCTGTATGAGATATACGGAGACATTGACATAGTTCAGCGAATCATAAAACCGCGGTTGCGCTGCGTAAGTCATGTGGAATGGATGGAATACTCCTGCTTTGAAAATTTCCGATGCAGCACCCACCAGTGGAAGCAGAGGGAAAGAAAGAACTTCACTCTATTGGAAACACAATGTAGAGAAGGGCCTGGCTGTACTTAGTATCTCCAACTAGCGCCAAATAGCTAACTGAAGAAACGAATGGCACAATGTTATTAATTCGACTGTAATCGTATAAGCAGTGTCTACGCCAGTAAAGAATAAAAAGGAAGACAAACAATTTACGTATCTACGGCTTGATCGTGTCTAAGCTGACATATATGTACATATACACATACGTAGATGCACTGGTACATACATATTATATATCAACTGATAGGTATTATAATGTATAGCTTATAAATACATATGTATATACCGATATATCATCTGGGCACCTACGTTCCAAAGATATTTCAATTTGATTTTTTTTTTCGAATGTAAATTAAAAATTAGATCATAACTTAATATAAAAATTAGGGATTAGTTGATTTTTAAATAAAAATTTAAACAAAATAATTAATAAAATTGATTTTATAATTTAAGTTAAATTATAAAACTTTTTATTATTAAAAATTATATCTCCTATACCGTTACCTGCTTTAAAGCCGTTTAATTGAGTTATGCATGTTTCCTAAGTGCTATATTTATATATATTATGACCTAATTCGTTACCTCTTTGGAATTATAGTTGTACGCCAAGAGTTTTAGGAAACAGTAGAAGAAGTGCAAATCGTGTTTGATTTAAAGCTATATAAAGATGACTGCAGCGTGCTATTAAAATTCTCATAACTGAAAGAGGAAGTACAAAGTGTACAGCATGAATTGCTTTCACTGGTATTACAGGAAACATCAGCATATATACAATCCCGACTGCAACAAATTTCTTTCTGTAGCATAAAGTTGCCATAATCACTATTGTTTACATCAGTACGATATATTCCAATGTTTTTTCGAAACGTACTTTTCGATGAAGATTCGGATAAATGGAATTTATCCATACCATATTTACGTTCCATAGAAAGATTCTCATTAAAATGTATTAATGGCCCGATAATAAGATCAGAGATGCAAAAGCCTTGGCCATGAGGTTTTAGCGGGGGCGATGTATTGTACTTGTACGATGTAGCATTGCGTGCCTGAATTTGTTGCTCAGTTGAAATTCTCCTGGATTGCAAAGCGTCACATTTCGTTTTTTCGCCCATATTGGAATGCCCATTAGCTATAAGATGAAATATTTATATATGTAAAAGTAAACATAGGTAAATAGTTTATGTTGAATTATACACATATGTATATCTATTATATATGTATATGTACATATGTATATATACAGGGGGGCCAATTAACATTGTGATGTTCTCCGGCTGGACCATAAATCCATTTCTGCATAACATCCGAATAAGCCATCGGATACATACTTGAAACTTATTTTCTAATTAATCCAAAAATTATTCCACAAAGTACCTACATCAAGATACTGTATGAAGTATATTCGAAGTATGACATTCGAATATAATTTTTACTTTCAAATATAAGGCGCTTTGGTCAAAACATACCTATGTACACACATTCATATATACTAAGAATAAAATATAACGTATTTAAAATTGCGTGTTTGTTGCATTGGAAAAGTACTATATTAGCTCAAATTAATAGACGTCTTCTGTGTACCAAAAGACATCGCCATTAAAACGAAATTGTCTCACTTTTAGTTTCATCAAATTTTCAGCCGTTATTTCTTATTATATTAGGAAAAGAGTGAAGTATTGAGTATCCCAATAAAAAACTCGAAGCAGTTTCCTTCCCCATTATTCCATTAATTCTCATAATTAGTTCCAAATGCTACCAAATAAAACAACCACAAAGCAAACAAGCTCCGATATGTTTGATAGTCGGGTCTTTATACCGGAACGACCTGGATTTTTATCCGGCCAAGGACTGTCACTCCCGCAACACTCCCCAAAAAGTTGTCTGCGGAATATTTTTGCGGCTACAACAACAACAACAACAACAACAACAACAAAGTCTTCATATCGCCTTTTTGGCGTTTAATGCTCGATAAACTAAAACAATATAAATTACTGAATATAAGAATAATAAAGTATTTGTTTATTTTTTAAAACAACAATACAAAACAAGTTAGGGTATAATGCTGCACTTTCACTATATAATATTTGCACACTTTAAGCGCTTCCAGTTTCACTTTCAGAGTCAAAATATTCGTCGGCATCACTCAGCTGTAGCATTTCAATCTTTTCAAGCAATTCCTTCCTAGTGTGTGGTAACCGCTTTACGACACATGACTCTTCATTGGATTTTACATCATTCGTTACTTGCTCAGCGGAACTCTGGTCCAAATCCGTCAGTTTCTTTCCTTTATCCATGTAACGCATAAAAGCTCTGCGCTTACGTTCAGGTAAAGATTTTATAAGTCGTTCCATTTCTACTTTCAGTTTGAGTTGTTCCTCTGACGTGGGCTGAGGTGTTACGATTTCAACCTCTTGAGCATCTTTCAAGCATTTGGCACATACACGTGCTTCCAGTGCACAAGATCGACAAAGCACATGATATGCTTTTGTTATATTTCTCTGCTGACATCGGGTACAAGTTCTGGGCTGGCTCAGCGGCTTATATTTTTTATACTTAATTTTCCATTCAATAACATCCTTGCAATGTTGACAAACCTCAGATACATGTAAGGAATTCAATTTCTTTTGTAGTAGCGTTTTGTCGTGTAAATCATTTTTAAATGCTGTTCTGTTTTTGTGTTTTTGAGATCTTGTTCGTGATGAATTACCACGTTGCGAACTCATTTTACACTTTCGCAAGAATGATAGTAAATATTCTATTATAGATTTTCACAATAATTGCAAATGGACTTAATATTCCTACCAAGGCGAATTCAGATAAGATGAAGTTGGTAGAATAGTTGTTTTCTTATTCTATCGACCGCCGGCAGAGAATGTTATTATGTTATTATCTATTTATTAATGTTACTAAACATTCTCTGGTTGAATTCAGTATTTTTATAAATTTCTGAATTTCTTTAGTCTGAGTTCACACGAGGATACTTTTGTTGCTGTATTTACATTCTCTGACTGTACCGATGCTATTTGGAAAACGTTACCAGAGAACGTAAATACAACGTTTTACTTTTCTGATGATACATCACCAAAGTTTGCACTGTTGTATTTAGGAATGCCTGATAATGTACGGTTGCTTCGCAATTGATGTTTTGTAACTCACCCTGTTTCGTTGACAAAAAGTATCCTCGTATAAGCTCAGACCTATGCATTTTATAATTGTATTTTATAATTATAAATTTATATTAAATTGAGAAGTCAAATATATACATATATATATACTGCAGTGAATACTCGGTGGTAGGTCTGGAAAAAAAAAGTCAATATATTCCAAAATTATAAGCAGTTCCGACGGCTTTGCCTTGTACAGTATTTTGAAGTGAAATACTTTTGTTAGTTGACAGCCTTCGTCTGTATTTAAAAGATCAACCCTGGGCTGTAAAATTCTGTATGTCTACAAGGAGATTGGTCAGAAACCACATGGTCATATTTTAGACGTTACAAGTCTTTATATGTCATTTGTGAAATGAAGGTATAATATTGTTACGATTTTGTTAAATCAACCTCGAATGGACTAATTTTCTGCTTCTCTCCTTCATCTGACATTCGCCTCGCATTTTCGATAACGATCTTCGTTAAATAAGCCTCGATGTCTTTCTATATCCTTCAATTTAGATTAATGTGCTAAAAAAAAGGCCCAAACTGTTGTTCAGCTTCTTTATTGCAAACACAGAGTTCACTAACTATACAACTCTCCGTAACATTGTACAGGCTATGGTATAGTTACGAGGATGTACAATTCTCCGTTACACCAATATTGTCACTACCGAGATCTGCACTCATCCGAATTCACTGCACTATGCGCTGTCGCTACTTTATTTTAAATATTCTCTCCTTTGCATCCCTAAAAGGCTCTGCATTATTGTTCCCGATAACAATCATTCAACACACGCGCTACATACTCTTACGATTTTACAAAATCAACCTCGATGATTTCCTAAATACTTCGGGTACGATGTCTGGATTGTTAAATAAAACTCGCCAACTTAATTTGCAGTTTCTTTCGTAATAAAGATTTTATCTAATGCCCTTTATTTACTCCGTAATACACAATTCAATTACAAGGCACTTTACTAGCTACAATCNTAAAGTGAACGCGTTGGGAATTACATTTAAGTAGAGTAAATGGTGAAAGTTTATGCAAGTGATTGTAGCTAGTAAAGTGCCTTGTAAGTGAATTGTGAATTACTGAGAAAATAAAGGACATTAGATAGAATCTTTATAACGAAAGAAACTGCAAATTAAGTTGGCGAGTTTTACTTAACAATCCAGAGATCGTACCCGAAGGATCTAGAAAATAATCGAGGTTGATTTAGTAAAATCGTAACAATACGAACCAGTTTGTTCGAGCACTGGTTGATCTAAACGTCAAATTTGATGTTCTATGCTGAAATTCCGGTGTGGTGGAAAAGTAAAATTTACACAAATGAGAGTTGGAAAAGAAAAATAAATTAAATGTAGAATTTGCAGTATACACATGGATTTTAAAGTATTTGTGAAGTTATAACACGAGAATAAAAAAAATGTTGCCATCAAAATCTAACAATAAAAGAAACAGTTCTACAAACGAATTGAATTTAGCTGAAGGCGTCCGATTGCAATTGCAGCAGCGCATTTCAGAGTTCCTAGCCGGCACAGATATTGAATTAGTTATTCCGGAATTATCCAATGCTGAGCGGAAGTATCTTCATAAATACATTGCTCGTCTTGGATTGTCATCCCGAAGTTATGGATCAAAAAATAACCGCGTATTGCATATTACACATCGTAAACGGTTATCAACATTGGGTCTTATTCACAAATTGGAACTGTTAACTGCCTGCAGAAATCTAATGGAAGAGTCTTTACGTTTATATGAGATACCATTGGTAGACAGAATCCCAACAAATCAAAACCAAATATCTCGACATCAGTTTCAAAACAGGACACGCTTGCGTAGTGAAGCACTACTCCTTGGATTGGGCCCTCGCCTAGTACCACCACAACCCAAGCGTATAAGTTCTGAGCTTTATCGAGATAAACAAGAGCTACCTATTTATTTTTATAAAGAAGAAATTAATAAAATGTTGCTGCAGAATTCAGTAAGGAAATAGCCGATGATTTATTTATTTATTTATGAGTTTAAAATTGGAATATTATATATTTTAGATTTTCATAATTAGTGGTGAGACAGGATCGGGGAAAACTACGCAAGTGCCACAATATATTTTAAACGACAATATGCTCAGAAATCGCCCATGTAGAATTGTAGTTACACAGCCAAGGCGCGTAGCAGCAGTGTCTGTTTCACAACGAGTGGCAGAAGAAAGAGGTGAAAAAATCGGAGATACTGTCGGCTACCAAATAAGATTAGAAAGTATGTAAAGCTTTTCAATAAGAAATATCTTAAGCTTTAATCAATATAAAATTGTTTTTACAAAGGTCGAGTTCAAAAAACCACAAACCTGATATATACAACAAGCGGCTGTCTTCTACGTTCGATAATGGCAGATCCCAAGGATTTTTTTCGTAAAATATCTCATTTAATAATAGACGAAATTCACGAACGTGATAAGTACACGGATTTTATTCTCATAACCATAAAGGAGCAACTTAAACAAAACAAAAATCTCAAAGTTATTTTAATGTCAGCTACAATGGATATTAATTTACTTTCAAAATATTTTGAAAAATGCCCTGTCGTAACTGTACCTGGACAAGGGTATAATGTAAAAATTTTTCATCTTGAGGATATTCTTTATAGAACGGGCTATCGAACTGCGCTGATGGAGAAATATTTAAGTTCTATGAAAGATATCAACTCAAAAAATTGTGAAAATCTACCAAAGATTGTAGAGAAGAAAATGACTCAATCTTTCACTACTTCAACTACATTAAATGATGAACATTTGCAAAAAGGAATAGATGTTATTATTGACCAGTGTTTTTTTGAAAATTACGACAGTGAAGAGGAATTACTTGCTTTGTTTGATCAGATACAATATTTTATTGAAAGTGAGGGTATGCCCATAGATACCGCTAATTCACGGACAGGTATAGTAACAATAATACTAATTTTGTATCGCTTTATTTTAAATATTAACTATTTAATAGGAGTCACACCTCTTATGGCAGCGTGTAAATGCAACTTACCGAAATATTTAGAATTGTTTTTGTTTCATCAGGCTAACGTCCATCTCACGGATTTGCAAGGACTCACCGCTCTTGATTACGCAAAATTACATTCAGATCAGACGTGTATAAAAATATTACAAAACTCTGATGCTAGTTTAAAAAATCATACGCGATTAAGTCAAGAACCGGAAGAAAAACAGCGAATTTTATTTGCATATCACCAACAATTTAACGACGAGAATGAAATCGACCATGATCTGATCTTATCGCTATTAGAAGGACTATACCGCAGTCCTCACCCCGGAGCTATTATGGTGTTTCTACCAGGTTATAATGATATAGTACAGCAAAGAGATCTCATTCAGAGTACACTTCCCGCTAATACATATCGTATTTGCATTCTGCATGGGCAAATGGATTCACATGATCAATTTGATGCCCTAAACAGACATACAGTACGAAAGATTATTCTTTCAACAAATGTTGGGCAAACATCAATTACGATACCTGATTTAGCTTACATCATTGATTCGGGTAAAGTAAAAATGAAAACCCATGACTCGATCACAGAATCATCACAGTTACAGTCGGTATGGATATCAAAAGCTGATGCAAATCAGCGATCTGGTCGTGCCGGTCGAACCCAGAATGGTGTCTGTTATCGGTTATATTCCACTGCAACATACGAATATATGCCAGAGTTTTGCATTCCTGAATTCATGCGAATACCTTTAACAGAAATTTGTTTGTACGCTAAGACATTAGATGGTGAAAAAGATGTGCAATCATATTTAGCTCGCGCTTTAAACCCACCCACACAAATAAGTGTGCAAAATGCCATAAAAAAGCTACAATTACTAGAAGTTTTTGACGACAACGAAGAAGTGACAAACTTGGGACGGCACTTAGTTGAGATTCCGTTGGATGTACATCTTGGAAAATGCTTATTGTACAGTATTTTTTTTAAATGTTTCGATTCAATATTAACAATAGTCGCATATCATTCCGTAAAAGATCCCTTCATCTTACCAACAGACCGTGCAGCCCAAGGTCACGCTTCATTCCAACGGAAATCTTTTGCAGGAAAAACGTTCAGCGATCAGTTGGGGATACTTTCGTTATATAAATCTTATTGCTCTATACGAAACAATAGAAAGCGAGCTCGAGACTTTTGTAGCAAATATTTTTTGTCACAAACAGCTATGGAAACATTTTATGCAACACGACGTCAGATTGCTGACCTAGCATGCCAGAAATTTCGTGTTGGTCAGCAAGCGACACTATTCAATGATGACTGGAATATGGTCCGTTATTGTTTAGTTGCAGGCTTCTATCCAAATGTAGCAGTAATTGATCGTCAACAGGGAACGCTCACATCAGGAGTAGAAAAGCAATTAATATTACAACGAACATCAGCATTAAATCCACCAGGTATGAAAAATTTAAAAGAATTCATTGACCAACTTCCATACGATTGGGTTATTTTCTACGAAAAGTCGCGACTAGGGAATAAATATTCGATAAACATGAACACAATCGTTTCGCCTTTAGTAATTGCTCTTCAGTGTGGACGGGATTGTGTATTAGCTGAAGATTCTTCGGAGGACTCGGAAATTTCAGATAATGAAGAAGACCTTTCAGAATGTACTAAAACGGAATCTGAAGGGAAAGTAAAAGAATTATCGAAAAATATAAATTCTTTTTCATTATTAGAATCTGCGGTGGTTAGTAATCAAAAAGCGATAATGTCTCTGGATAGTTGGATTAAGTTTGAAATGCCCATTATCGACGCTAATATGCTTTTGCGAGTTCGGAGACTCATAAAGTCCCAATTTGAATTGTTTTTACAAGGAAGAAACACAATACCACCATCAACAGCAGCTTTTCATGTACAAAAACTCCTTCACTGTTTAGACAACGGTTCGCCAAAATAAACTATACATTAAAAATTGTGGGTATATGATTTTATATGCATATAAACATAAATATGTTACAGATGAATATCTGACGTATTCAAATACCTAAATGGGTAAGAGTAATATTGAATTTACTGAAAAAAACATTGTGGTTTAATTTACAAAACATTATATTTTAATGAGTTTGTGCAGTTGCTAATTAGCTGCTATTAGGATATATGTAAGGTGCAAAAAGTAATGTAAAAATGTGACAGTAAGTTTAATAAACTATCGCATATTTTAGATAAATATGAAATAGAAACATATATTTAGAATAGAACATATATTTATTTATATATTTATTTGCCAGTGAAGCTTTTATTTTTATGTAGACGACAATGCCGCTCGTGCGGACAATCACCATTGAATATATTTGAATTGTGTGGAAAATAAAGATATATTCACATTGGGAATTGTATTCATGAAGAAAAAGAAATTAAATCACTTCACTTACATAGAGAGAGGCACTTCTCAAGGACGTTGTGAAACTCGAGTAAAAAGCTTATCAATCATCCTCTCTACTGGATTAGAATCCAACGAAAAAGCTCATTTTTTGAGTCTCCCATAAAGTAACCTTAATATCACCTAATTTACTTCTAAGGAGACCATACGTAATGAGTCGGCCAACTTTTACATTTCTCTTTTTTAAAAAATTAGATTAGTAATACTGTAATGATGATTATCAATAGATTTATAGATTTCCGGCTTATTATTTAAATCCTGTCTCCATATTATTTTGTTATTGGTAAAATTTAAATATATGGTATCTTAAGCCAAATAATACTCTACGATCGCTTATGCTTCCATCAAAAAGCTTCCTCTCTGTGCTTCCCGATTGTATTTAGCAAAAACTTTCTGTAATTTTGAATTATGATTTGGAAAGGATTGCTACAGCGGCTATCGAAAATCACACAAACTAAGTTAATCTGGATAATGTTTACGGTTACGTAGGCAGTAAAGTATCGAGGCGGAACACTCTTACTGTGGTTTGATGAGCGGGCTATTTAGTGATCGTTTTGTACCTTTTCTCGCGGGCATCTATGTTGTATAAAATGGAAACTGTGTTACTTACTTAGTTTTGAGAATGTTTGGTTAAATATATCAACACTCCATATGCATATTACATACAAAATATCCAATGTTTTCAGAGCAGTCTTACACACAATGTTTTTAAACTTAAATATATTTACTTGACAACAATTTGATATTTTAGCTAAAACTAACTAAATACAGAAGAGCTAGCTAAACTATTATATTATATTTTGTCATCTAATCTTAATCGAAGAGTTGATGTGGTAAATTAAGATGTAAATAAATGAATAGCGGCGAGAAGTAATAACCACTCTATTGGGAGTGAGTATTAAAGTAATACTAAAGATTGCATATTGTGCATTTATGAGAGTTTTAGAGAGTTTGAAGAGAAAGTGTGGAGTGAATGCCATTGAACATTGAACCGGAGAGTACTAAGTTTTTTTTTTTATGAAAATATAATTTTATATCAAAAATAAATGTATTCGGAGCAGGTATTAGATTATAATCTTATAACAAGTTTCATTTTAATGTAATTCCCACACCGTCTTTGTTTAAAAAGGATTTACTTGGTGCACCCTAGGAAAAGTATACAGAGAATTAGGACTTATTTTAATTAGTGCAAATGGGTTTGATAGTGTTAATGGTTAATGGAATGAGAATTAAGCTTATTTTGAAAATGTATGAAAAAAATATTGATTTTTTAACTATTGTTTTTAGGTTGTACATATTTAATTTATCTTTTTATTCTTCTTCTTTTTTACTGGCGCACACATCGGCTTACGCGATTGTTGCCAAATTTATAACATTGCGACATTCATTTCTATTTTTCGCTCTTTGGAGCCAATTGGAGATAGAGGACCATGAATCTTACGCAAAACTAAGAAAACCCCTAACGCCGAACCATCAGATGTTTTTTTTTTTATTAAAATAAATAATAAATAAGCTGTCAGGAAAAAAGTTGCGTTTATGTTAACAGCGCTTTGTAACCGCTGAAGCGATTTTCGACGTTTGTCGATGAATGCCGTGAAGGCGACGAAAATAAAACAAGATTATTTTATGGTGATTTATTCACGAACAGTTTCAACGATAGACTGACAAAATTAAGAAAAACAGAGAATTATAGCTACAAATAAGTCTTAACATTAATTCTTGGAAAGTTACAGTTTTATGTGTAGGAAATATTTAGCAACGTACAGTGAATACAATTTTTTTCGTTTAACATTAAAACAAATGAAACTATTATAGCGTTTTGCTCTTCAACATCTCGGAGCACTCTGGAACTACGTTTCAGAATGTTGGTAGTATCACAATCTTGGTAATAGGTCGAAACATTTCTCCAAAGGCAGTCTTCAATCGTGACGCGAACTAGTTTATCCTTGCCAAAATATGTCTCAATGACCTAAGCCATTAACCAACGAGCAGGAGGAAGATTACTTTCTTTTGACAAATATTTGAAATATTCCATACAAATATTTGAAACCTTCGTGGACTCCGGTCTTTTTAGCAGCGATCTTAAATATTCCTTGTGCCATTTTTGTCAGAAGCCTTGCATCATGTTCTAAACGTGCTGCCAGTAATTTAGCCAATTCCGTCCTATTTCAGTTAGCCTACCTTCATATTATATGGGCGCCCTATAAGAAAATGAGAATGAGATATGTAATTAGTATCCGTGTCCGCAGCTGCATAAAGTGGTCTTGAATTGAATTCAAACGAATTCAGAACATGAGCGTTCACCTCACAAGCGCTCACATTACCGTTGGCACGAGCACAAATACCACTAGTTGATCCACACTAACCGAGGATATTTGAGAAACAACAACGCTAGAATGAGACCGTGGAAGAGCAAGAACTTGAGCATAGCGCTCTGTTATCTATGACAACTCAGAAGCGCAGTCTAATAAAACACGACAAGGAATGTAGCGAAGTTTGTACCTGGATCACAGCCGTAGGCAGAATAGATTTACCATTCTCTCTAGTCATATCCATTATGCTGATATGTTCTGAATAAGCAGAGATTGGGGGTGAATACAGACGATCGAGGTGCGAAGTAGTTGAACATTTTACTGACGATGCCGAAGCTGGCACAGCCGAATTTGTAGGCGACGGCTTTCTGCTTGCTATGGCGTAGAGGTTTGCAGCACTGCGACAAGGTGTACTAATGTACAGTGTCGACGATGGCATTCCTTACAACGATATTTACTGGCACATTAGACAGTTGACAGTTGACAGTTGATACGACTCTCACGACAGCCGGTTCTACGCACCGGAGTTGACCCGGATTTTATCCGGCCAAGGGCTGTCACCCTTTCGGCGACCTAACCCCGTTTAGGTCTACAGGTAACTTTAGTCTAAGTTCGCCAATGGAGCAACACCTCGCACCTGGGCTGCTCCAAATCCTTCTAATCAGGGCTGGTGTAGAAACCAACCCTGCACCGACGGTTTATTGCTGCTGCGTGTGTCATAGAAGACTCCACCATTCATCCACTTCGGTTAGATGCAGCCAGTGCAATGGTTGGAGTCATCTTAAGACCTGCTCAGGTCTTAAGACCCACAGGGAATGGACCACGAGTTATGTGGCCCCATGCTGCCAGCGTCTAACCGCCCCTCAGCCTCCACGGCAGTGCCTTCAGCACATATACTCACTCGGTAATCAGCAGACCTCCACGGTCTTACGGAGCTCCCCGCAGCATGATTCCCTCCAACCTCCACCAGCTCCTCATCCTCCTCCCGTGCGAGGGCTACCAACTCTCGCGGGTAGTACAGCAGCAACATACACCATCCACGCATCACTCCCTCACCTCCCGAATCACGAACGTTCCCACGAGACAGACCCGCCTCATACAATTTAACTGCAACGGACTCCAGGGAAAGATTGACGAGATAGTCGATTATATGAGCCGGGAGCACCTGTCAACTGCTGCGATCCAGGAAACCAAGTTGACCGCCCGATCAGATCTTCTGAACAAGGCCGGATACAACATAATCCGCAAGGATCGCGAGCGAGACCATGATGGGGGCTTAGCGTTCATCCTGCACAACACCGTGCAGTATCGTCTCATCGATAGCGACATCGACCGCAGGGGTACTACCCTAGAATGCCACGGCATAATGTTGCCAGCTGGATACACCCCTGATATAGGTGCGCTACTCAGGGGCGAAAACCGTTTGGTTTTGGGCGACTTTAACGCGCATCACGATCTTAGGCATTCTAGCCTGTTAAATGACCGTAGAGGAATGGAAACAGATAGATGATTCGACATTATGCACAATGAACGACAACACTCCCACCAGGGTTATGGGTAATTGCCAAAGCTCGCCAGACATAACAATTGCGAGTGCTGGTCTGATAAACAGTATAGTTTAGCGACCTATACTGACGTTAGCATCGGACTACTTGCCCATACAGATCTCGATTGACAGGCCTTCCGACTTTGTTTCCGCGGACCACCGGACATTTGTTAACTTTAAAAAAGCTAACTGGCCCGAATTCACGGAATATACTGAGAACGCCTTCAGTGCTCTTCCCACTCCAACTGATGTCACCGCTGGTGAACGCTTATTCCGCAGGGTCGTCGTGACCGCTGCCGCCCGCTTCATCCCGGAATCCTCTAATCAGGGATTTAAACGCGGAGATTCGAAGAGTTGTCAACAGTTATAAGCGGAAAAAGTGGGAGGAGCACCTAAAGACCTGCAACCTCTCCTCTGGGGCAACCAAGCTCTGGGCTACAGTCAAGTCGCTGTCTAACCCGACGAGACGCAATGACCGGGTGGAAATTTCATTCGGTGATCGCGCCTCGTCGGACCCGAAGAGATGCGCGAGCTATTTTAGCCGAATTTTTACACTGCATCCCTCGGTAGACGAAGCGAAACGACGTGTGACCCGCCGTATGCGCAAACTGCCAAACACCAGCGCGGTGCTTGATTTCTCCAGGGAGGAGGTTCAGGGGGTCATCGGGAAGGCGGAAGCCTCCAAATCCATCGGCCCTGACGGAATAAGCATGCTGATGCTGAAACATCTTGGACCAGCGGGAGCAGAATTTCTCACGAGGGTCCTCAATTTGTCTCTGACCACCCTGAAGATACCCGACGTGTGGAAAATGGGTAGGGAGGTCCCGCTACTTAAACCAACAAAGGAGAGTCCTATCGGCCGACAACTCTCCTCTCCCCAGTAGCGAAGACACTTGACCTTCACTCACCATCTGCGTCCAGCAGCGCATCAGCATGGCTTGCGAAAAGTGCACAGCACCGCAACAGCACTTAACGCCATAAACACCCAGATAGTCCATGGCCTCAACCAAAACGGACCCTGCGCGCGAACTGTCCTAGTAGCACTGGACTTGTCAAAAGCTTTTGACACAGTCAATCACTCAGTGCTACTAACTGACATTGAGGAATCCTCATTACCGCCGGGGTTGCAGAGGTGGGTCATGGGATACCTGAGTGGTCGACAATCATCGGTAATATTCCGAGGTGTAACATCTAAACCCAGAAAAATTAAACAGGGGGCACCGCAGGGTGGTGTCCTCTCCCCGCTACTATTTAACTTTTACATCTCGAAACTCCCCCCACCACCGGAAGGAGTTTCCCTAAAATCGTATGCCGATGACTGTACGATAATGACGTCCGGCCAGGATATTGATGACCTCTGCTCGAAAGTAAACGGCTACCTCGCTGATCTCTCCCACTTCTTCACTACAAGACAATTACGAATCCAACCGACAAAATCCTCGGCTACCCTTTTCACCAGCTGGGCGAAGGAATACAGGATTGAACTGGATGTGAAGGTCGATGACACAAAAATTCCGACGGTAAATAACCCAAAAATATTAGGAGTAATTCTAGACAGCCTGCACTCCTTCACTTCGCATACGACCGAAATTGCCACAAAACTCCAGAGCCGCAACAAAATACTCAAAGCGCTATCCGGCAGCACCTGGGGTAGAGATAAAGAAACTTTGCTGGCTACTTACAAAGCAATTGGCCGGCCGGTCGTAAACTATGCTGCACCGATCTAGACGCCGGGAACGAACGAGTCGCAGATGAAGAAGCTACACGCTTGCCAAAACACCGCCCTCAGGACCGCGATAGGAAACCTCCTGATGTCGCCGGAACATCACTTGCACAGGGAATACCTATGCTACGAGTTAAGGAGCATAATCCTTTGCTGTGCATGCAGTTCCTATTGGGATGCTACCGCAGGGAGCACCCCAGTAGGCACCTAATAGAGGCTGAACCTCCACCTAGGCACATCAGAAAGGGAGTACTAGATTTAAAGAACACAAACCAGCAACACACACAACAACCGCTGGACAGGACGGCGTACCGACAAGCACTGAACGCCATTCACCAGGAGTCAGTCAACACCTTCAAGGACTCCCTTCCAGTGAATGGCGTACTCGGAGAAATACCACCACCCTTAGCAGACAACGAGCTCGAGCTGCCTCGAGAGACCCGCGTGACCCTGACACAACTCAGGTCTGGATATTGTAGCAGGTTAAACTCCTACCTATCCAGACTAGACCCCAGAATACCCAACGTATGCCCTGCATGTGGAGAGTCCCCGCACGACACTAACCACCTCTTCACATGCCCCCTCAAACCCACTCATCTAACCCCCTCTCCCTTTGGTCCAACCCCGTCGAAAGAGCTCGTTTCCTGGACCTACCACTAGATGACCTCGGCGACTTAGACTGAACAAACTTGTGCCTAAGCGGGGGTAGCGAACCGCTACAACAACAACAACAGTTGAAACATAAAGATTTTGTTTTTATGAAATTTCGACGATTCTCAATGCTGAGTGAAGCTGAGTGTTTGCTTTGGTTATCAGAAGATGCTCTTGTAATACTATTGGCTTTCCGCACACCTAGCTCTAACTCTTCGCAACGCGAGTCTAGAAATTGTACGAAGTCACCATTGATCCAATGACTTCGTGTGCACAATCCGAAATTTTACGCCAAAGACTCGAGTTTTCAGTTGATGCAGTGGACAAGTTCAAGAACATAGAGATAAACGAGTTTACAATCTGACGTGGTCGCTGAAAACGGAACTAACAAATGCGTCACGAAATGTATGCCAATCCTTATAACTTCCAGAAAATGGCTGAATATTAATTGTCGGCAAGGCATTATCGATGAATTTCGGAGATTTGGACACGCGCGCGAAGTGCTCTAGAACAGCAGCTTATTGTTCGGTTAACCTTGAAATTAAATCATCGATCTTATCCATATGTCGAATATTCTGGTTTATTTCTACAGTGTAAGGTAATGCATTTTTCAAGGTTAGAAGCAACGCACACGTTCCAAAGATATTTTTATTCATATACCGTGATCGTGTCCAAAATTGTCTTTTTTCGTAATACAAACAGAACCAACATTACCTTAGTAATTCAATGTAATGAGAGAAATATATATATTCATATAGTAGATACTCAACAACGGCGAACCACAACACAAAAACGTGCCGTTTATTGCTAACAGGGGCTTCTAAGACAACATTTTCTCCTTTGTAAGAACAAACTAAAGTTTGTATCTTCAGGTAAACTTTAAACGGCTTATTTATTATACATAAAGGTAAGGGCGACTGAAAAAATCATGGAAAATTAGTTGGCTTTTAATAACGTAGAAACTCTCTGCTCCACTCTCTCACCCGGCTTGATTCTTATCTAGAATGACTTCGTATAAAAAATGTATAAATAGTTGGGGAATGTGCAATCGAATATTTAGCAAAGTTTCTAATAAGTAATTTTATATGTGTACGAATCCACATATATATGTATACATACATATATGAGCGTGCAAAAGTTTACTGAAATTTTTTTTGAAAATATGTTTTTGAATAAAAGCTCTTTAGAAAAATTAACTTCACCTCAATAAGTAATAACTCGACTAAAAAACTATCCCAACACTATCCTAACACCGAAAATTATTGAATTCGGAAAATTTCATCATATATTCCTCTCCAACCAATTTCTCAGATATGAGAATTAGTATTTGAACCTAAAATAAAATACCATGAATTGGATGTGGTCATGCGGGTTATAAAGATTTCGGTGTGACCGAAGTCAGCCCTTCTTTCTTTATTTCTTGTTTAATTTGAATCATAAATATTAAATATGGATCTCAATCTGCGATGAGTTAAAAAGGCTACTAAAATAAATAATAAATATATATATAAAAATATTGTGAATTAAATGAAACAACATAAGTTTCAAACTAATGAGCGTGGAGAGAGCTTATAATGGTCGACATCTTTAAGGAGGGATCGATAGTGTACAATTATTAATGTTTTCGAACCTTTTTATTTAAGTAAATAATAATAATCTCAGGCTTAAATTTTATTAATTTAATTGAGAACAGAAAACAAGTTTTGAATACAGAAAGCTTGTAAAATATAAAAGTTATCATTAATTACATTTTCTATATTTCAGAAGACGGTTGCCATTTCTAAAAATCATGTACTGCATCTCAACATTTCAAAGAATAAAAGGAAAATTTATTAACTTCAATGCAAACAGAGTCAAGCTCGTATATATATGAATGTATGTATATGTTCATAAACTTTAAAAAAGCAGCTAACTGTAGTCGAAATAAGGTCTACAGGGTCTGTAAGTACTATTACTACTACATAAATTACTACTAAATTAAAGCGTAAATCTTCAGCCATAAATTATGTCTGCAAAATTAAGCGGTTTCACAATGACTTTATAATCCTTCAAATGAACGTTCGATTAATATTTATTATTTGCTAAGGCCATTACAAATTATTTGGATTAGATTATCTAAATTGGTCTTAATAATTTTCGACGACTTTGAACAGTGAGACAAATTAAAAACTCACTAATACTACTTCCTGTGAAATCGATTACATCTGACGAATAATACTAACAAATTCATATTTTAAAGAAGTTCTTCAAAAATGCATGTATCCATTTATTATTCGATTTTTTTAGTTTAGTTAAGACAAAACTTGTTGTTTTCGATCATTTCTTAGTCAGAAAAATATGTATTAGTTGTTAAATTTACTTGTTAGCGTGTCAATACAAAGTCCAAAAGCGCGAGAATATGTTAAGAAGCAGATAACAGAGTATGGTGGAAAAACACGAAGAATATCACTGACGCTCCAGGTCATACGAATGTAGAAGGAAATGAAAAAACTTGGTCGCGCTGGCACCTTTGGAAAGATCTTTGGAGATACCTTCAGTTGATGTTGATGTAATAACTTTCGTTATACTCCTCAAACCTTACGGAGGTGGGCACACATGGTTGGATGATATTAAAACAGTATCATAAATCAAGCGGTCAGGTCCTCAATCTACCCTTTCAACCAAGCAACCAACCAAATTTATTTACCTTATACCCATTGAATATGTATAATTGTACTCGCATGTACATCGAAATTTATAGCCGACATTATGATTTATGGTACCAATCCAAGATTTCAGATAATTTAACCAATCGCGACAAATCGCATTTTACAATATAAATAACTCAAAATATGGTAAATTTAACAGTCTTAAAAATTCCTTCGAATAATATTAACTGCAAAAATGAAAACTCTTATTGTAGTAGTGGCAATTTGCCTTTCAGCAATGGTTTGTTGTACGAATTAATAGATTTAAGAAACTTTGAAGTATTGCTTTGTTTTTAGGTTAATGCCAGCCCGGTGAACTATGAAGGAATCGTAGATGATATAATTAAAGAAGCTCAGGAAATAACCGTAAATACGGCTAACGCATTGCAAACTCAGTACAAGGTAATAGTTGTAGAACCGCTCCATCAAGTTGATACCGCTGCACAGAACATTGAGAATCGTCGGGAAGAGGACGTTAGCTGTGTAGAAGCTAAGGATCCAGAAGTTGAAGAGATTGTGAATACTTTGCATGATGAAATGATTGTATGCGGCTCTATTGCCGCGCAGACATCAGTAGAAATTATGAACGATGTTAATTCAGCAACTCAGCAGTTGGTGTTTGATGGTTATGATGTCTTGAAACTCTATAAAAAATGCAAAAATTATAAAAACAGTGTTTTAAGGAGCTCCTGCTACGCCAAATTGTCAATAAAAGCCACTTTATACATCAGAAATTCTAGACGATCTATTAAGACTATCAAAGAAGCTAACAAACGAGTCCCGGACGTATTTGTCGACGCGGATGCTTGCACCCATAAATCAGCTGATAAAGCAATCGTTGAGCTCAACGTCGTGCAAAGTGAAGTGGACGCCTGTATAAAAGCGAATATTTAAATACAAATGTACATATGTATGACACTTAAGCATAACATTAAATATTTGAAGACACTTCTTATATTTTAAATAAACTGCTATCTGAAAAGAAATTAATACACTTTGTTCAAATAAGACGTTTTTGCCGACAATTAATGCTAATCCGTTTACAGATTACCATTGCCCGAACACCGTTCTAAAGACCGTGACATGAAACCTCCTGATGGCGCCGAAACAAGGCTTGCGCAGCGAAGCACCTATGCTACGCATTAAGAAACATAATGGCATGCTTTGCACCACCTAAACACCTCATGAAGAAAGTACTCGAATATTAGGACCCCATTCAGTAGCACGTATTAGAACCGCTAGACAGGACGACGTACCGACAGGCTTTAAACCATTCATCCACCGAGAGTCTATCAACACGATCTGGTCATTGTAGTCAACTTAATTCCTACCTATACAGACGTGACCTCAACATATCCAACGTATGTCCGGCATGCAATGAGACTTCGCATGATACCAACCACCTCTTTATTTGCCCCTAAAACCTGCTCTTCCAACCCCCTACTCCTTAGCGGAGTGGGATAGACACTAAAAAAACAATACCGACGACATTGGAAGTGACGTTTTATGAATATTTTGCTTAGAATACAAACTTAAAGGAAATTACATTTACTGTTAACGGAACATTAAATACATCTTAATATATAGGAATTAATGTTCGCTCAAGCTTGAGAAATTTTCAGAGGTTTTTCGTTGTGGATCTGGGAAAGGTTAGAAATAAAAAAACGTTATACTTTTTGAAAGAATAATTTGGAAAATTGGAAAATTTCAAAACACTGACTTTTTTCCCATAAATTTAATCTTTTAAATCCATTTTTTTCTTTCTGATTTGTTTATTCGAACAGCTTTCGTTTGTAGGTGAATATACCTGACCTTATTTCCATTGGAATTAAATTGTGTTACTTTTTCAGCTGATTTGTAAATTATTTGAAACGGTTAATTTCGGTCGTTTACTTTCTTAATTTCGGCCATTCAAAAAATGAATTATTGAGAACTTTATGTCTGTTTCATACAAAGTGATTAATGAAATTTGTTACGATGCTACGAAGAGATCGCGATAAAAGCGGATAAGGTCATAGCTGCAAGAATTTTGAGAAGGACTTACAAGGGGGGCTTGCTTGATTCCACGAATTCTCCTGAGTTCCAGCGCTTTGTTATTTCAGTTCAAACGTATTCAGTTTCCCGTGAATCTTGTATTTGTGATGACAATCAATAGATCACAAGGACGGTCGCTGGAAGTATGTGGCATAAACCTGGAAATGTCATGTTTTCCACACTGTCAGCTATACGCGGCGTGTTCAAGAGTTGGAAAACCATCTTCTTGTACATTTAAGCACCGGAACAGAATACAAAATATGTTTTTTTATCAAACTACATTATATTGAAAAAAATGTTTATAAATCGTAAATAAATGATTTTCAACAGCTTGCTACCTACATATATCCTAAAAAACTGGGTATTAAGAATTAAATTGTAGTAGATGGCAGAAGGATTACAGATTCGCAAAGAACTAACTGAAAAGATTTTGTATGAACTTTTGAATATGAAAAATTTGTGCGTTTTGGGTGCTGCGAGTGCTCACCCCGCTCGACAAGCAGTGACGATTGGAGATTTGTAAAGATTATTTTGGAGTTGTGCGCAGATGATTTGGATGAAATTTGGATTCGTCAGTATGATCCCGAGTCCAAACAATAGACTATGCAGTGTATAAAAAAGGGAAAAGGCTACCAATAAAATTCAAAATGGAATAGTCAGCGCCGAAGATTATGGCTACCGTTCTTTGGGAATATTATTAACTGATTACTTGCCAATGAGAACTGTAATAAGCAGCCAGTATTACGCTAATTTGTTGAGGCTGTTATACTGATGAGATGTTACAAGTACGCGGAGTGCTGTTTCTTCAAGACAACACACCTATTCATACCGCTCAGGGTAAGAGGGATGCTACTGGATTTATAGAAAGTGACCACCCACCCTACAGTCGAGACCTTGCTCCCAATGACTATTTCTTTATTTTTTTTTAATTTAGAAATGGAGCTGCGGGGCCATTTGTAAGAGATATATAAAGAATAATTTTTCAGTGGTATACAGGCATATATTGTAGTTCACATAACACAACATAAAGGCATAACACAAAACATAAAATTTGCTCTGTAGAGGAGCTCCAAAGAAAAGAATCGTGGCTGATAACATATCTAAAACGGTCTGTGTTATTACAATAACAATTTAAAAAAAAGGAATTTTTAGAACCTTTAAACATTTAACATTAATGATAAAGATTACAAGGCCTCCTCATTTTGGGATAAAACGTACGCCAAATAATCAAAGCCATTTTTGTTTATTATGTTATCTATTTTTTTTGCTTGTGCTGATTAAGCGATATCGAATATCGTTAAAATAAATACAAATACATTAGTTGAAGCTTAATCATCCTAACTATAACATCCTTTAAAATGCCTATTATAAAATTGTCCACCAAACAATTAAGGTATTTGCAATATAAACAGTTTAACAACCTGTTAACACCGAATAATAACTAGTACCCACCATAAACATTCATACAATTGTTTAAATAAGTTCCAAAGTTTCAATATTTATGTAAGCGAAATGTATAATTGGCGGCAGCAATTGCCAAGTTTAGCATTGCGTACTGCCATTCGGAAGGCCATAGTTCAAGTCCTGCGTCTGGTCCAAATTTTAATAAAAATTTAAGTTAATTTTTCTAATAGTCGTCGTCCCTAATTGATAACGGCAGGAAATGTCAAGCCCACCCTGTGTATTTCTGACGTGAAAAAAAGTTCTTCATTAGTTCGGAGGCGGCTAGGAATAAACTTGAGTCCGATTGTTGGAAAGGCATTAAGACGAATACTACAAATTGGAGGAAGAGCTGGGCTGTAGGTAGTCCATGATTTACTATGATGCAGAGTTGGCCCTACCTACGACGATATCCAGGAGTTATATGAAATGTGGTTAATTTTGTACTACTCTTGCATCCAGGTGGAGAATATATGTATGTATAGTATGTACATACTTCATGCGAGCATAGTATACTTCGGTTTTTGAGCAGAGTGTTTACATGAACTCGTAGGTATGCATACATAAACATGTTATATGCTTAACTACAATGAGATCTGATTACTGAGTATATTAACTTGAAAATTTAGTTGTTATTTCATCGTCAATAAAGGTAGATATGTTCCAGTGAAACATAAACAAATTATAGTGCAAATTATATTACGTGTAGGTATTTTCAAGAAATGACTGTATATAGCATCATCGTTCAAATTATTTTGGTTTGTAACTAACAAGTTGCAATATTAAAGTTCATTATGAATTGGAACACTGAACTAATTTTTGAGTGAGTAATACATGTAAAATATAAATATCTGAATAGCAAAATAATAAGGAAAAAAATAACAATCGACTCCTTACATCTTTAAATAATTGAAAGTTTTGTATTTCTCATTGTTTATTATACAAACTAATGTTAAGGGCGCCAGTTCAAATAATTTTGACTACTGCAAACAATTTTTGAAACCTTTTTTTTAAAATGTGCAGATGTCGAATTGATCAAGGTAAATTTTTAATTAATTAATTTTTCTTACAAAAAATACTCTCACACACACATCCAAAGGATCACGCGAACAACTTTTCTCGAATATCATCACACATTTCGAGGTATATTTTTACATATTCGAAGACCAAAAGCTTTTTTAACCTATTTCCAATTTTATTGCAGGCAAAATAACAGTGTTTGAAAATCTTATTAATAACGACAACTCGAATGTATACAGATACTCGTGCTTTGTCCGCTAACAAGGGTTAAGGTCAATATGCGTCACAAACCAGTAATTACCACTGGCAGGCAAATAACAAAGCGTATTACATAGGCAAGTTTAAAAGAGCGCTTAAAGTTACGGAAGATATATATTTATGTATGTCAAGAAAACAAAAAACACATACAGGTACATACATATTAACAATTATAATTATGATGAAAAGCTCATATCAGACATTAACTTTAAATGTAAATACTTTTTTCTCATTAAGAGAAACATATATAATATTACAACTTTTTTCAAACTTGTTACTGTCCGGTTGGCTGATAATCAAAAAATCCCGAAATTTATGTACATATATACTAGCAGACCCAGCGAACTTCGCCTCGTCTTAACTGCATGCCTTTATATTACATTAACAGTGATAATATGGTAGTGGAAAAGCAAGGAAAAGCAACAAAGATAGTTTGTCAAGGCGCAAAGATGGTTAGAATAGAATTAAGTAAACTAAGGTTTCAAAATCGAAAAGTTCAAGAAGCCTATACGAACGAAAAAAAAAGATTATATCGCATGAATCGGTCCTCGAGATTCTCTTAATAAAGCTGAATGTTTTTCGGTCCAACCCTTATAAATTCAAGAAAAATTAAAAATTGTTTTCAACATAAGAGCTTCTCATTGAACGAGATCGTGTATGTACTAAAAATAACCACAAGTCTCGTTCTGAGAGTTATTTTTCTCTCACTTGGGTAAAATATATTCATTCTGCATAATTCATTGCAGACGCACGTAACGCACGTAAATTCAAGGAAATGGATCCCGTATACCATGGAAACAATTTTTTCGAATAGTTCGGAAACAAAAGTAATGTTCCTGCTAAGCTAAGTAAAAGGCTACCTATGTATCAAATTTCAAGTAAATCGAACTATAAACTCACAATTTTCGAATAGATCACTCCCAGGTCCTCTTCTCGGTGTGAAAAATATGTTTTATGTTATTATCAGACATACTGAATATGCACATATAATTAAAATCGGCCAAGGACTATCGTTTCTAATGTTGCAAGCACCCCTTCCATAACAGGCGACGTCAAGAACGAGATACATACACAATTGTTGACGTAGCTGAGAGCGGCGAAATGTTGCCAGCTGCCAGTGTCTTTGCACTCTTCTGAACAAGTATATAATTTTCGTAAACAAATTTCATAATTTATGTGCTCGAATATAAACGTCAAGCGAATATACATGATGTATATAATAACAAATAATTAGTTACGCATTTAGTTTTCATTACTTTTGAAAAAACTACGCATTATCTGCGATTATTTAATATTACTTTAAAAAAGCAACCTTGTAATAGCAACGAGGAATGAGGAATGAGCCCAGCCGGTTGTACGGAAAAATTCAAATCGCCTCTGGTTTCTGCGGGACAACCGTCACTAACGTCATGGGCAAGCGGTGACAACTTTGTTTTTACATGGCGCTCTCCTAAGATAGGTTGCTATGGACGGAAGGCACGTGATTTGGGTAGTTGCAGCATAACACTGTGACAGGAGAATTTCATATATTAGATATACATTTACATAAGCATGTATAGAATTTTGTCTAATTTTGTCGTTACAATACACTAAAATTATCTATTATTATTATCTATCTTCGGTAATTATTGAGTTTAGAACCAGATTTGTTCCTGAAATACTAGGGCAAATATCCCATCTTAATACGGCATTTCCACGACAGCCCATTACGTGTTTCGCTCTCTCAATCGTAATTCGCACTCCAAAAACATGCCGAATTATTTAAAAAATTTTTTTAACAAATTTTCGTGAGCGAATTACAGTAAAAGTGGGTAATTCGTTCTCAATTGCCATGCGAATTACCTCCAAATTGATGTCTTCTCTGATTCCTATCGAAATTTTGACGAGACCAGCTGCCAAATCAAAACAAAAGAGAGGGGAATCATAAAAGAAGACACTAACACAAAAACATTGATTCGAACCAAAGACTATTTGTATATTTAAGAAGAAAAAAATAGATATTATTAAAGAAACTGGTATTAGATTCACAATTCAATTGAAGATGTTGTTAACTTCAACTAAAATCTTTCATTTTCCATACGTTTTCAAATGGAACAAACAAGCGAAACCGAAAACTGTCAAACTGTGTGCCGCGTGAGTGGGGGTAATTCGCATTCGTAATTGGGAGAGCAATACACGTAATTGGGCTGTCGTGGAAATGCCGTATAAATTTAATAATGTTCATAGGTGGTCGTCGTTTAGAATGAAATAACTTAACTTACCAATAATCACTTTATTTTTATTATGGTCAAGCCATGTCAAATTTGTTTCATTGTCAGCCAAATACATTCCTTATGACAGAGATTGTACCATTAATACTGACAAACATTATAAAAAGCAACCGGAAATTTAACATACTCTTTATTTACTTAACAAAATTACACAATTTTATATTATTTTTGACCCATGTGTACATCAACGAGCGATAAAGTACAATTATGCTAGCACATCCTGATTAAAAAACATTACACAAAGTTATATTAATTTCATTTTTTTTATTTTTTTCGGTGTTGAGGAAGAGCTGGGACTCAAATGAAAAGAGATTGTCGGAAGCGGGGTTTTGTGGGACCATGAACTAAGGACCATAATACAATAATTCGAATTAGTTTTGTTCTCTCTTCGCAGTCGGCTTCATAGCTATCTGACACTAAACTTGTTTCGGGTTTTTCGTGTTACATTTTTCTCTTAAAAAAAAATGTACTATTTAAAATAAAAAATAAATGGAGAATTTTCATAATTTTGATCGAGTATTTGACTTTCACGATTTTTGTATTACAACTTTTTAAGAAAGTATCAGAAAGGGAAGGGATTCAAATTCAAGCAGATGAAGCGCTGGCTGGGTGTGCTATATCACGTTTGAATTCAAATTAGGCTCACAGTTTTAAAGATGTCTTAAAGAATTTCGTAAGCAAACAGGATATTGTTTTAATAATTTTTGGTTTTTAGAGCAGTACAGCAGTAAAAATTTATAATAAAAATCTAATAATTGCGCTAAAAGTAGTTTCGGTCGGTTAAATATTTCAAACTTTAAGCGCTAAATATATTGATATTAGTTAGTTAAAAAGCTTGCTCGATCATGGTACCCTGATCTCTTGATGATACCTATGTTAGTTGTGCGAAGAAGATTTTTTTCACCTTTTCAAATACTCAAACGTATTTTACGTAGTTCCTAGAGAAGCAAGTTATGTTAAGCAATAAATGAAGAAATTTCCTAGGAATCGATAATGGACCGCAGAGTTTACTGGGGTTATGACTATCAGTCAGCTCATTGGCCCCGCAGTTCCCTGGTACATTTCTCATATAGTCGAGAAAACTAAGTTTCGAAAAAATGTAAAAAAAGTAAACTCTCGGCTTGAAACAAATATTTTAATTGATCCATACATATAGTATTATAGCATCCAAAAATAATTTAAATATCCCCTTGTTGAAAATTTTATAAGTGACAAGATTAAACATTTCTGAGCAAACACGTTTATTGTCAAAAATTTCGAAGTGAAACTACCTTATAGATAAATGATTGTGGTTGCGTTTATCTCAAGAAAATAACTGTCAAAAAATTATAAAAAGATAAAAAAAATGTAGTTGTATTGATTTTAATGGATCTAAACTAAATTCAATACGATTATCCATAGAATAATTAAATCTGCTCACATACAAAAGATCATTTTGACTTTGAGAACTAACTGAATTTGTTTGTGAACGAAAAAAATTCTAGGAGTTTCAGCCCACATTTCCAACATTTGTGACTTTTCGAATGCTTGCAAATTATCTCGAAGATTCTAAAGCTACCTTCGATAGCACGAAGAGGAGTTGTTTCTATGCCATTGTGCCTGAGTTGGGTTCCTTGCAAAGTTTATACGGTTGTGTAACTGACGGTAAGGGTCTCTCCGAGCCTGGGTATGGGCGATGGAGCGAAGAATAATGAAGCATTTTTAATTTAAAATAAATAAGGAAACTCAAATAAATGATGCGATTCCCGTATTGTAATAAACAAAAATAACAGAATGGGCAAAGATGAACATGCATTTTGTGGCATATATGAATATTTTAGAAAATTACTTTCTGCTGTTGTCGTTTTTACAAAAATAGTAGTGAAACAATCAATCCCACTACTATCACTGAATATAGCCACCCGCCACACCCGCCACCCGCCTAAAGACGATATTCCCCTTCTGAAAAACACCTCACGAATCAAAGAATGCTGTCATGCCTGAGGAGCCTCTATAAAAAGGGCTAAAGGTAAAAAAAATCCAATCGATGTGAAGCCGCCTCCGGACGTCTGATAACTTTTTATTTTATGCCAGATTTTACAATGAATTAACTGCATATAGAAACAATTTCTTTCTGCTACCCATTAGGCTACAATAGCTGCTTTTGTAATTCGAATCTTATAAAAAAATTTCGAACAGAAACTTTTCTACAAACTAAGTAATAATTAAGCGGAATTGAATACGCCGCCTCCAAACAATGCATCCCGCTTATGTAAAAGTTGTAATTGGGTACAGTTGTGAAGTCGAACGAAAGGGAAAACTGAGAATTTCATTAAGGCAATGAAATGAGGAGTACATACGAGTATGTCTCGTCATGATTAAAAGTGCTCTCATTGCATTAAGAGGGGAGAAGTAAAAACATACATATGTGTGAATGTATGTACTTGGGAGTGCCTTTTGTTCATTGATATAAGCTGGGCTAAAGTTTGGCGTCAGATTTCGTTGGAATATTTCAGTTGAATTCTTACTGTTTAATTATAAACAGCCCAGCAAATTTAACGCACTATTTCAAGTACTTTTGTGTTAATAATGTGAGTAAAAATATCTATATATCTTGTAAATTGTCTCTTAACTTTTATAAATTTTAAAATTTCATTGCTGAGTGTTTCTATTTCTTTACATACATATACGAGCCTGGGTACCGTTAAACAAATATTTATAGAACAATTTTTGAAGCGAAAGCGCTTCTATTTAATACAATTATAAATTAAATGCGTTTAGCTCTGCCCTTAAAAAAAAAAAAAACATTGAATAACAAATCGTGTGGGAGGTATACATTTATTGACAAATTTGGGTAGAAAAAATAAGGTATATAAAGTCAACTAATAGTATTTTTTAGTAAAGAACATTATGCAGGTCAGTAAAATCTTTCGATTTTGAACAAAAATAAATGTATAAACACATATTTCAAAAAAAAGCAGGCGATATTCATACTAGCGTAATATATTGTACATTCACGTCATTAATCAATGATTACAGTATGCGGAATAGAGAGAACACCCATTTTAAATAACACCTAAGAAAAAGTAAAGCGACCTAACCTCTTACTATTTATTTTCCTTTGTTTGTTTTAATTTTCTTACGATTCAAGAGCTATATTAAGAAATATTTAACCTAATGTCAATTAAAAAGACGCTCCTAATTGTAAATACGATTAATCATACATTCATCAACAATTACATCAATTTTCTTTACTCTTTACTTCGAAGTTCGGAATAACAACAGCCCACTTGAAACATTTCGTTGCGGCCGAGAGTATTTTGTTATTTTGTTATATGACTTAATTGTGGACTGTATTCATATTCATTCTTAGTACAAAACTCCATAGTAGGCATTTTGCTCATTTGAGCTTTGGGTGTTAAAGGTGGAACTCTTCTCTACGACGTATCTCTTCCCTTTCAAGAAAATACAAAACTTCTCAGCAAAGTGTAGAGACAACTTTTACAATCTTCTACCCGATTTATAAAACTGACGATATATAGGAATCGGAGTAGTGCGGTTCAGCTGTACACGACTCATTCACATTCAAAATTTTTTGGAGCAATTATGCATTCCTATAAGGTTCTAGCTAAACAAAGATCAAGCACCGCAAGTCCCTTATCTTTCCCGTCCGGCAATATTGTGAGAAGGATTACACGACGAGAACATCTGATTAGTCAGCATTAAGAGTTTTTGGACGAAAGATTTATAATTTTTTTGCGCGACGGCAACTGCGAATGTCGCAGACGATGGAAACGACGACGATTGAAATATACGGCATCGTTAACTTAGTTCAGTGAATCAATGGTCAGCGAATAGATGAGAACACACCAGCTTCGATATTATTATTAAGATATTAATGAACGTACTTACGTAATGTACATACCAGAGATGGGCACTGGTGCCTGCATACCCTGGTTCCTATGGGCCGTAGGAGTAAACCACTAGATACTCCCTGTCGCCAACTATCGGACCAATTTGCGTCCCGCTGCCTCCCTGTTGCTAGCCAATGATTGCTCGTGTTTTAACGATCGCAATAACTGCATTGAATCAGTTATGATATCTCCGGGTAAACAAAAGACGCGCATTGGTTTGAGCTAATACAATATTTTCCAGTGCAAATTAAATAAACGCACAAATTTAAATATGTATGTATGTTAAATAGATACAAAATATGAATTAAAATTTATATGATAAATTTTATGTTAGTATGTATGAATGTATGTATGTTTTGACCAAATCGAATTGAATTCGAAACTAAATCGTTAACCTCCAAGAAACAATTCATAATGATTTAATAATTAACTTTATTGCAGAAATGAGAAATGTCAGAGGAAAATTTTAAAAAGATGAGTATCAACTTGACAAGAAGCAAGGAGATTGGTGCAGTATTGAATTATCATGAAAATAGCTACAATCAGGAACTTCATTATGTAAATGAAAAAGATCAGCCTATATACGAAAATATGGATAATGACTTATTGGAAGGCCAAAAGTCTTTGCTAAAAACACTGTTTCGAAATGTAGAAAAGGATGATGTTGTTTATGAAAATTTATGCCGTGGATGCGGCTATGGTGTATTCGAGTCTCAAAGCTATTTATGCAACTTTTGTTTGTGCATTACCGAAGGCCTGAAAAAGAATCAGTCTCGGCAGTTAAAAGAAAATAATAAAATGTATGTTAATAATAGTGACAACATATATGAAAATATTTGTGTTAATTGTTCGAATTTATTTAACACCAAAGAATGTGAATACTGCACAGTTAATATTAACTTGAGTAAAGCAAAACAATTAAAATTAGACACCTCAAGAATATACGAAAAAATAACAAAATCGCAAACAGTGCTCAACTTGGACAGGTATCGGTTTTTTGGTGATATTTTTGGACCATTCAAAAGGGGTTTAAAAGCCAAACAAAATTTATTAAGTGAAAAAGAAAGTGATTGCAGAAAAAAGAAATCATTGGCAATAATACATAACGTTGAAGGATACAATAATATTTTTCATACAAACCAAACGTTCGATATAAAAGGAATTTCCAAATTAAAGCAAGCTGCAAAGTTTAACAGTGAGCAACACATATACGGCCAATTACAATTTAATGAATTTGACAATATTGCAGGAGAAAGTTTAAACATTTTTTTACCTAATCAGCTTAAACAAGAGCAGCTAACATCGACTTCTTTGATGGCACATACGCATATTTCTGAGTCATGTTTATTGGAACATCAATCCATCTCCAATATCCCCTTTAATGTATTGAGCGATAAGAAACTTCGACTTCACTGTACCGAGAGCGTCTGTTATTGGATGAAATTATTACGTAAGCAAGTTCACAATTACCACAGCTACGGGCAATCGCTATATGACGGAGAATATGGTATGTGCATGCCCAAAAGCCTTCCTTCAAAAAGTATATTGATGGATACCCATTGCAAACCTAATTCGTCAAATACAATCAACGATAATTTTAACGAACTTCCCATTCGTATGGGAGAAACAAATAATTATTTTCCCGTCATTGATAAGGGAGTAGAAGTAAAAGATACTAGGCACACAAGTAAATTGAATGCGAAAGCCGATTCCAGTGATACACAAGTTAATGAGTCAACTGATACAATGGTGGATGTATTTAAACAAAATATATTGACAAAATGTGTGCTTTATAAACAGAGAGAGCGTCAACCATCTGTTGAACATTCCAGTTTACTCTACACAGAACGAGTAGCACGATCACCAGTGGAACAAGCAAAATATCAAACATACAACGAAAACAGTGATGTCTTTGATTGCCCTTCCGAATACAGCCCGATTACAATTATGAATTATCAAGCTCTCTCTACAGTTAACGTCGAAAATCGTTTAACTAGTTGTTACTCAACCTGCGTTGTGTCCGAAGTAAATACAAATCGCTGCGGTTGTTTAAACGCGAGAGATTGTGCTCCAAACACTGAATTTGAACGAGTAAGAGGAGATATAGTAGAAAAATCGCAAAATAAAAATTACCAAGAAGACACAAAAAGAGAATTCAAATCAATAATAAAAACGGAAACATCTAACGAATTCAACTGCCCCGAAGGCCAAAACGAACAGTATGTCAAAATAAATGATAAATGTTGCCATAATTCGCCAGTGATAAATGAAGGAAATCGTGAAATAAATTTTTACTTATTCACACTAAATTTGTTTGGCGCAAACGATCGTACATTGGTTAAAGTGAATTTTGTAAGATTAGTGAACTATGTGTTAATTTCATACAGTCTTAACACAAAAATATTATTTTCATGCTCCAATCAATTACAACTTTTTAATTGGCTCCAAGATTGGCTTCTTTATTATTTTAACCCATGGAGTTTGAAAGCCAAACGTGCTTTAGAAGTTCTTTCCAATAATAATAACTTAAAAATATCACTTAAATTATGGACTGTACTGAATGAGTCAGTACGACATACACGTTTGGAGAAATATGATAAACAAGAGAAGAGTATTTGTGTTTGTAACGAAGCAATCAGCTCAATGGAATTTAAAAGTGGACCGGAAAGGGGGATTGTTGTTGACGAAAATAGTGATAGAAAACTTACTATGAGACAGAATGTTGTTACAAAAATTTCAAGTAAGGCCAGTGAAGAAGTTATTTTGCGTACAAAAAGCAAAGAATCGTTGGAAAGAAGTAAGAAAGCTCAAGGAAAATTTTTAGATTTTGACAAAGTTGCAATTGAAGCAGATGATAGGGTAAACACCCTTCTGTGCAATAATTTTGCAGAAGCTGATCTCAAAATAGGAAATATATCTTGCAATAAATTACCGACAGTTGAAAAGAAAAACTCAAATAACACTAAACAAGAAATACAAAGTGAGGAAGATATTTATCAACCCATTTGGAAGTTTCAAACAGTTGGAGATGCTCTTTACGACAGTGATCCCGAATATTATAATTTAAGCAGCCGCACCTTCAAATATTTTGAAAAAAAGCAACGAAACGCTAATGGTTCAAATGATTCATCGCTAAAATGCCTTTTAATTTCTGATAGTGCAAAAGATCATAGCGAATGGGAGACTGATGACGAATTCAAATATTCAAAAGAGTTTGACGAATGTGGCAGAGCTATGTATGCAATGCGATCACAAATTTCGCTCAAGGCTTTCTCTCAGAGTAAAAACACACTTACAAGCATCACATCATCAAATTTTCGACACCCCTTGATTCGCGCCGTATGTATTTTTTTTAGTCTAAAAGAGCCGAAGGCTCGGGCTATTATATATGACTACAATCGTAATAAATCATCACAATACTTTTCAAAAAAATCGCTCTTGCATTCATCTACTGATACGGATATTCCAACTAACTGCTTAAAACCACGTGCAACTAAAAATGATCTATTACATAGTTTTTCGTTAATACTTCCGAGCAACGAGCTCAACAAAACATGTTCAGAATATGTCGATGAAATGTCAACAGTATTTAATTTAAAACCAGTGTACGCGTGGAAATTCGACCTTTTAAATACATCTTCCCAAGAAGATGAAGAAGATTTGGTAAGTAAAAGCCTACATGTTGTCCGAATTACAATAAAGACCGCCTAAACGCGTCACAATATATAGGTCTAGTAAAGAGTAATCCATTATTTTTTGTATTAATTTGAAGGCTTTATGTACCATAAGTAGAATTATCCGATGCACCGTTTTCCTCGATTGCCTTATTTCATTTTAAAGGTAATATAATTATGCCTCTTTCATAGAAACTCTTTTCTATATTTGCAAAAAATTAGGATAGACGATTTTCCAAGAACAGATGGTAATGACATGGTGCGAAGTCCAGGCAATAAGATGGATGTATAAAAACTTCCCAAGCAGTAATTAGCGACTCACTATCGATGTGTATGATCGGACGTTGAAACAAACATGAAACAAAATTAACCTCCTGTTGTTCAAAGTTGAGCACTTCTGGGCGATTGCTTTCTTCTGAAGGTCTATTTTCTGACAGGTGCGAATTAAGAGTTTGGTCGTAGGGAAGCAGCTCTTGGCAGATGATTCATTGCGCTCTTCCTAAAGACACGACAAAATCTTTCTGTTCGTCAAACGTGGTTAGGACATAGTTTGTACCAGCTCACTGCCTTTCGACCACACCATTCTAGCGTTACCGTAAGTGATCCACTTTACATCATCAGTCATCAACCGCTTCAGAAATGGGTCGATTTTGTTATAATTCAGCAGCGATTCGCTCGGTCCATTAGGTTTTTTCGTTAACTCAGGGGGAACCATACATTCAGCTTCTTTGTATATTCAGCCTTTTTTTAAATGATTCCAATGTGTTTTTTGTGTAATGTGTAGCTCCTGTGCAATGGAAGCAGTGCTCGCATTATCGCTATTTTATATAATTCCACACCGTGGAGCATCTTTCACAACAAAATTACCGGAACGAAATTGTGAGTATCATTGCCAAATCCAAGCCGACTCTGAACGGCCGATGGATTTTTATGAGAAGTATTTATTGCATGTCCCGCCATTAGAAAAATAATAATATAATACTGGATTTTGGTACAACCCGGCTCGAACCCTGGCACTTAGAATGGGAGTACGCAATGTGACCGCCATTAACACGTGCGTATTCGTCTTTTTTGAAGAAAAGTTTTAGAATATAGCGTATTTTCTCTTTGCTGGTGTCCATCTTTGACATGTGCTCAAATTCTACATAGTTGAGGTATCAACACTTCTCTCGTTATGTTTTTTAATAAAAAATATCATCTTCCTAACGTCATCTAATGTAATTCATGTAATCGCACGTTCGTGTATTTAGAAGTGCCTGTATGTCCAACCAGACATCAGTCATGTATGAAAGTGGATCGCTTAACAACCGCACAAAACGTTAATATTGTTGAAACCTACACAATATGAACAAAAAACCAAACTTCATGAAAAAATTATTTGAAATGTATTTTATTTACGTTTATTTTTGAATTCGCAAAATGGATAACCCTGTAGAAAGCGAGATAGAGATTACTAAAGCCATCTGTTGCATAAATAGATTCCGTTACGCAATTACCTTGATATACTCAGAGATTGATAAGCAGTACTAAGATTATGAGCAAAAAGTAAGGTGAATTCTTAATTTGAGCTTCCCGCATTTTATATTTCGGGTTAATTCTTTTTTTCATGTTGGCAGATTGACATCAGCGTCAAATTTCTTGTCACTGTCATCATTGGTATTTTAGTTACGCTTGTGTTTACTAAAGTACTAAGAGTGCCTTCGTGGTTTTTGCACCACGATAATACACACAGCACTAATGCTTCGTGACCATTTCGCTAAGAATTCCACGAATATCGTTTCCCAACCACTGTATTGTGGCTCTTACAAACCTTACAAACCTCACAAACTCAAGAGACCACTTCGAGGACACCGTTTGAGTCGGTTGAGGAGATTAAACGTGAACCGGCGCGCTCTCTGAAGGCCATACCAGAACGAGAAAACTTGACAAGCTTCAGTTTCAATTTAGAAATGACATTAAGCTTAGATTATTAAAGTTTTGATAAATAATATGCAATGTATATAACACGTAACTCTTTGTAGATCGTGTCAGAGGAAGCAATTTTGGGATCGCAAATAATTAAACATGATTTTGATCATGAAAACTTATCTCCAATCGCGTCTACTTTCCATCTTGTAAAAAGTGCCTCATTCGGTGATCTTTTGGAAATTCCTAATGAAGATGACAAAAAATCAATTACGGAACGTATGCGGAGCAAATGTGAGTATGGAATTAATGTAAAAAATTTGAAAACTAGTTTTGAATTTTATCTGATGTAATATCGAAGGAAACTTCGTTTTAAGCAAATCAGCTCTGATAAAATTATGAACTCAAGGAGATTTGTCTTTAACCTATATGTATATTTTTTCTAATTTCAGTTCAACGAGGAGTTTTAAAATTGTAAGTATACTCCAAAATAAAATCAGTTCGCATCGGTTTTCATTATCACATTTACAAATATATATATACATGTCATAAATACATTCGGAGGTGCTGACATTGCCCAAGGTTCATAGAATACAAGGTTACGACAAGAGCGAAATCAAATGCTTGATGACGACGTTGGTTCAATTTTGTGGGAATTTAAAATAAATATCTATAAAAATCTGAAACCCTGCATTAACATTTTTTAAAATTAATAACAATCGCAATGAAAACGTCTGAATAGTTTTATGTCAAACGAATGCATTTTAATTTTCAAAAAATTTTCATTTAAAAAAATTAATATTATTTTTCAACAACCATTTGTACACCTTGCAACTCTAACTTTTGGTGCCATGTAATACGAGTGGAATGAGAAAATAATGTCAAAAACGTTGAAAATTATCATAATTCCAAGCGAATTCGCATTATTATAAAATATTTAATATAAAAACGAAATTTTGCATATTTTTTTTTTGCTGAAAAATGGAAATGGGTAAAGCAATTCTTGTGAAGAAATCGTGTTTAAAAATACGATGCGGTGAAAAAGTGCAGTGGGTTACCTTGACACGTAAGACTCTTATTTACATTTAGTGGTCTTCGTTAAACATTATCAAAAATTTCCAACTCTGTGTTTGTAAAAAAAAAATTTGTTGTGTAATAAGGTCTATAAGAAAATTTTTCCCATATTTATTTTATTAGGATCACATTTGTACATAAGGAAAAATTTACTCTTTTTGATAATGTACGATATATATCAAGTCTCGTCCACTGTATATATGACGAAGTTGGTTCGGTGGCGTCAACTGTTGTCGTAAACGAGTGTTCTGGCAAGCCTGAAATTTCTTCATCTGCGTCTCGTAAGGCGTCCAGATCAATGCAGCATAGTTAAAAACCGGCCGGCCAATTGCTTTGTAAGTTGCCAAGTTCGATCCTGTATTCCTGCGTGCAGCTAGTGTAAATGGGTAGCCGAAGACTTGGTCTTGCAGTGAAGAAGTGGGACAGGTCGGCAAGATAGTATTTTATTTTCGAACAAAGGTCATCAATATCCTGGCCAGACGCCAATATCGAAAACTTATGGGCATATGAGGTCATGGAAACCTCTTCTGGTGGAGGAGGGAGTTTCGAAATATAAACATTAAACAACAGTGGAGAGGCCACCACCCTGTGGAACCCCTTGTTTAATTTAGTTTGACCTCGATGTTTCACCGCGAGATTCTTCCGATGATTAACTGTGCACTTTGCGGAAGCTATGCTTATGTGCTGCTGGACCCAGATGATGAGTGAATGTCGAGATCAGTAAGGCACCAAGAAGGCAGATTTTACGATAATTCTTCGGAATTAACGTTCACCAGCAGTGACGTATCATGGAGAGAGGAGAACACTGAAATTTCGTGAAGCTGGACTCCATCCATTGCACTGGTTACATCTAACCGAGGTGGAGGAGTGGTGAAGTCTTCACACGCAGTATAACTAATCCGTCGAACCAGGGTTGGTTGCGGCGTAAGCCAGCCGCGAGGTGTTGTTTCATTGTTGACCTTGGATTAATGTTACCTGTTGACCTAAATGGAGTTAGGTCGCCGAAAGAGTAGCAGGCCTTGGTCGGATAAGATCCGGGTCAACCCTGGTGCATAGAATCGACAAAAATATCCTATTTTCGTGAGAGCCGTCACTTATACAATAGTTCTGTTCGGTGACTAGATGGGCGTTTCTGCCCTACTGAATTTTCTACTGAATTTTACTGAATCGCGTTCGTTGAAGCAAAAACTCAGTACAACTAGTAACGAGAGAGCGCAATTTTGACGTTGTGGAGGGAAAATTGCGAAGATTCAGTAAAAATTGGCCAGCAAGTTATAACTCCTGTTTATTTTTGGCGGTTAAATTTGAATACAGTTTATTTTTTCTATTTTCCTAAGTTTTAATAGCATATTTAATTTATTAATTGTACAGAAAACTTATTTTATTTCAATAATGTTGAAATTCTTAGTGCCTTATAGCCGTAAAACGTTAAATATACCAATATGCGTTCTCTTGTTACTAATTTTACTGGATCCTTGGCTCAAACGACACGATTCAGTAAAGTTAAGTAATGCTTTTTTAAAACTCTAGTTCAGAAAAAACTGTGATGAATAAAGTAACTGAGATAAATATAATCTTTTATTAAGTATTTATAAAGGAGAATCGGGTTCAGAGGAAATCTTACTTATTTTATTACTGATATGATGAATATTATGATAAATCCTAACTGCTAAATAAAATTTTAATCTTATTTATTCTGTTGCAGAAATGTTCGCTCCCCCAAGAGTGAAAAGAAAAACCGTTCTGCAAAAACGGAAAGTTTGTACATAGAAGAAGGTATCCGACCAAAATATCCTATTTTCAGCGCTCCGCTTAAGCAACTAGAAATGAATGAAACAATACATCAAAATGTTCCACGATTTGTTGTGGACTGTGTATCTTATATTGAACGCAAGGAATATATATTACAGGATGGCTTATACAGGGCGTCTGGCAATAAAGTCGCCATTGATGAATTAAAAAAGAAATTAACCGAATGTTACATTTACGATTCAAAACTTTTAATAGTAGATGATATTCATACAATTACTAGTTTATTGAAGCAGTTCTTTAGAGAAATCAGTCAGCCTTTGATTCCTCAACATATATATAATGAGATGAGTCGAAATTTTTCGGATGTAGTTAATATTAATATGTTGAGGAATATTCTCGACGAGGTACCGGATCCAAATCGAGCAACACTTAAGTTTCTCGTTCGACATCTGAAGAAGTAAGTCTCACATAACGTTACAAAGCACAACTGTACAATCTACTTATCTAATTTGAATTACTTTTCAGTGTTGCCGCCTTCAGTACGGAAAATCGTATGCCTGCTTCCAACTTAGCTATAGTATGGGGTCCATGCATATTTTCTTCAAATCAAACTGTATTTGTTGACATCGGACGAACAAATACATTGACCAAATTGTTAATTGAAAATTATGACTATATATTTAGAGAGAGGGAGCGACTTGTAAACTGAAAATTAGTCATGTAAAAGTTTTTTATCACACCTTAGGAACTTTTCTATTGTCTTTTAAGCTGTATTTATAAGTTGTATAAAGATAAAAAATATATATATATAAGAGTTGAGAGTATGTGCGTGTGCTTAGGGGTCTGAATGTTTCTCGTGGATTTCCGGATGTGCTAAACGCCACAGCAAAAATTGGCAAGGAAGAGCCAAATCGTACCAAAAGTTGTTGACAGAAATTTACGAACGAGCTTATTTTTATAAAGTAGTACTTAACAAATTTTACCAGATTGTCGCCTCGCCGGACGCGTTTCATTAAATATTGGTAACAATTGATCTTTATAACTTTAACTAAGATATTAGTCCTATTCGGTTATTTGTGGTCATATTGTGAATTTTGCACTAACATAAGCAGAGATTAAATGATATTTTGTTAAATTGAAATGAATGATATCAACACACGAAAAATTAGTGGCAGTGAAGTAAAATCATCAACCGCACGCCACACAGACCCACTTTGAGGAATTGGAGGTTAGTAATATTGAAAGCATATAATTAGAATATATCCCTTTTTGTGCAATGTGAGCTTATTTTGGTTTCCTTTAATGTAATTGAAAGCAGTGTCGAACAAAAATGTTTCTGCGATCAAAATGACAATAAAGCACAATAAAGCATACGATGACGTACAAAATGAAATGTTAGACGGGATTTCATTCAAAAAGAATTCAAGAAATTTTATATAATATTTCCAGCTCGCTTTCGTATTTCAATCATTCTTGCTGAAAATCTAAGCGACAAATTTTTGTAAACCAAGTTTTACATAAATGTTTGTGGTTTCAGAGGACTATAAGATCTAACACCTATGAAGCATTACATCATGGCCGCAATACAATAATATTAATTCTTTAATTCTCCTCGGCGACCTTTTGGAAAGTAACAATAGGTCCTGAATGCCGAAATGACAAATGTGATGTTGATGATTTTGACCATTCTTGTTGTACAAGACGAACACAAATGAGTGACAGCATTCATGCCGAAGGAACACAGCTTTGACAAAAATTTTCCCTTCATATTTTACATACAAACAAACATTATTAAGATTAAGTCCTTCTTATAATATTTTTACATAGATCAGGTACATAGTTTAAATAGCATACAAATAAATAATAATACAGCAATATATTCATTTTCAAAAATCTACAGAATATTGCAAAAAAAATCACATATACAGCAGACTTTAATAGTGCCATGCGTTAGTGACGCTGCTCCTCAACAGCACGAACGCCTCCGTCATAATCGTGGCTCCTTTGAAGTATAAAGACGTCTAAGTAAAATTAAAAAATAATTTTCGAATCATAACGTTAATAATGTCTATATTCAGTTGAACCTCGCAAAGTTTTGTCGGATAATTTTAAATCTGCTACTACAGCAAGATGAGAAGCGTCCATTCCAGTCAAACTGCTCCATTGGCTGATCTCTCCGTACGATATGGACTGCCCTCAAATAAACAAAGGTAAATATCAATCATGTATTTTTCATTCTATCTACTGCGGAGATAACGATAAAAAATAGCGTTCTACTCGAAAAAAGAACATAAACAAAAAAATATGCATTTGTGTTAGTGCTGCCCGAAATCGTGTGAGTGTATTGGTGAACTCATCACCCCGTTCATGCAGGGTAGCCAGTATGATAAAAAGCTGATTTGTGATCATATGGTCTCATTTTCAACAAACCAACAAACCAACAAACCAATATTGATTGAAAATGAAAATAATATTATTTCTAACCAAATAATTACTCAAGAGTAATTTTGTGAAATTAAATTTAATGATATCAATGAATAAAATTGTACTATTATTCACTCGTTAAATGATAATTTAATGGTAATGGAAAGCAGTGTCACCCATTTGAGCATCAACACTTTCCGATACAAAGTTGTTGCTACGGTCAGTGACGTTAATGCATACTTAAGCTTCCGGAAACGACGACGACTCACAAAATGAAAAATAAGTCGCGTTTAAGAAGAAAAATAAAACCTTTTCTTGGATTTTATTCAGACGGAATCGAAAGTAGTCAACAATAATATTCAGTTAATATTACTAGGTACTTTGGAAAGTGAATTTATAGAAGAAGTTGTCACATCATAGATTGCTTGTTGTTCTTTCCATTTCGCAAAATTACACACATGAAATAAATGAGAAATAGGTTTTAATATATCGAACGTTCGACTACACACTTGTTGTATCCTTGCTACTATCGCGTGTGAATTTTCCCTGATTGCTGGCTTTCATAGAAAAATAATTCCTAGGTCATTTTCGTATTTCAATCATAATTCTTGAAAATCTAAGCGAAAAATAATTAAATATAGAATTAAATATACGATTATTTCTCAATACGGTCTAAGGCTAACAATATACACAGCTATCATCCCCGTTAGTCAAGACTACCCCCACTTTCCCCTTAAATTAAAAAAAATTACAAATACATTCATAACTTTTTGAGTACTTCACCCACACAGTTATCTACGTGTTTGAATAAGTGTAACAGGGATGTATGCTCACACATGCAAGGGGAAGGTGGGTAAAATCCATGGTTCAATAATTAAAGGTTGGATGAGTAAACAGTTTTCTCGCTCCCTCTTTACAAAAAGGCTCCCTTACTAATAAACAATAATGTTTCTTTGAAAGAAAAGGCTTTTTTTTAGAACAAAAAGTAGGTAAAGACTTAATTTTCTATGAAAACATTTAGTAGACATCACAAATTCTTTTCTGATTGATTGATTCAATATTTTGACATATACACGTTAAAATTAGTAATTAATTGTGATTCAAAAGGACTTTTGCATATAAATCTCTTCACCGTCATGTTTGAATAGCTCTGCCGGTAGGCCGCCAGCTCCTACCGCTTTGTTGTTCCTTAAGCGTGCAATCGCTATTCGAACCTCGACATATTTGGGCAACAGAGCAACTTTTCTATCGTCACCGATTGGGTTTTCGGGTCCACCATCTCTGGGTGTTTCATTTTCATTACAATTCAGCAGCCTGGAGTGTTCTCTCCATAAATTTAGTATACTCTGGGCATCTATTACTAGATCACCCCTGTCGGCCAGGTTCCATTTCATTATTGGCCAGTGTCGCGTCTTTAACGGAAGCGAAGATTTGTTATGAGCTAGCGGTAATCACCTTTATGTTTAGTTTCATGTACTAACTTTGGAATTACCAATATTTTGCTATTATATCCCGAATATATAATTGTGAGAACTCCCCATTCAGATGCATTGCGGAATATGAAATTTGAAAAAATAAGTACCATCCGTAAATTCAAAACTAAATAAAGTTACTTATTGCTTCTACCAAAAATTACTATTTAGATGCGATGCTTGGACACTGTTTTGCGTTCTGAGTCACAACGCAGAGACAATGCTGTAAGCTTTTAAATATATGTATATGTAGAATCATTCGGAAAGTTTTATCTTTCAACAATTTATTACAAGAATATTTCTCTAAATTCCCGATTTTTCTTTCCTTCCTCCCCTTTCTCTTAAAATTCGAAAATACAATATTGAGCCAAAGCAGTGTCAAAGTCTCTTTCTATTGTACTTACTTCATCCGTATATTATTGTATCATGAGATTTTTTAATTTTTTTTTGAATACTCGAATATCTCTGTTAAAATATTTGTTTCAAGCCATTTTTGAGGCGGCCCATGTAAGAAAAGGATAGGCTGTGCGTTTCATTATTCTTTCCTTTTTTTCGAAACTTGGACTCATTAGTTTTCTATAACTAACTATGGGTGAAACGTAGTAGAAGGACGGGACGTTGTCGATCTCCCGGAAATTCCTTCTTCGATTGCTTGCATCTCTGGGAATCATTAATCTCTTAAACTTCGTAAATTACACCAAGTGGTTTGAACATCTGGAAAAGTGAGAGCAATGCTCTTAAAAAACAACAAAGCATAATATGGTCGTAAGCCTATTGTCAACAAACTGATTGGATTTTATCAGTGTAGCTTTAGACCTGGTAAATCAACCAGAGGATTGACACCAACCACCTTTTCGTCGCTTTGTTTGAATTTGGTATCCCCGCAAAACTTATACGACTATGTAAACTGACGTTAAACAACACTAAAACTCCGCCAGGATAGCGAAGGAAATGTCCTAGGCTTTCTATGCCAAGCGAGGCTTTAGAGAGGGTGATTCCTTAACGTGTGACTTTTTAACTTATTGCCAGAGAAAATAACACGAGCTGCAAAGCTGAATAAAGAAGGTACAATTTTCTATAAGAATGTACTGTTGCTGGCGTACGTGGATGATATTGACAACATTGGCCCCAACATCCACACCGTAAGTTCTTCTTTTCCAGACTGGAAACGGAAGCGAAGGATATGGGTCTGGTAGTGAGCGACAGCAAGACGAAATATCTCTTTTCAGCACACAAACAGTCATCGCGTTCGCGACTCGGCTCCCACGTCACTGTTGACAGTCATAACTTCGAAGTCATAAAGAACTTCCGTCATCTTGGAACCAGTATTAACACCAACATCAATTAAATTGTCAATTTCTTTAATTTGTTTTGACAAAACTTATTTTTTTGACATTTCTTTGAAAATGTATAGTTTTTAATATCTTGTGAAAAAATAAATTTACGAAAATTCGAGAGCTTTGAAATACTAGTCCAAGTGATTAAACTTTTAACATTAACTAACAATATGGGAATCGGTATTCGGAGCTTTAGAAATATGAAATAATTTCAATAAAACTACACGTGCTTTTAGTAGGTCAATAGAATAGACGCATTTAGCAATACGGTAGAAATGATCAAAGTTTTTAATTTTTTATGAGATAATTTAATGAAATAATTATATTTTTTAACAACAGATTGTGAAAAATGAGGAAAAAATAAGATGCCTTCCGCTTTTGAACGTGAAAAATTTAATTTCCACCATTTCCATCCAATAATCCAAAAGTGAATAAATCCGAGAAAAACGCCAGATTCTCAGAATTACTTCAAGTGCTACTAATTCGGCTGCAAAGATAAGACAATTAACTGCTATAAAAGCTAGCTCCCTGTGGTAGCATCCCAATAAGAACTGCTTGCACAGCAAAGCATTATGCTCCTTAACTCGTAGCATAGATGCTTCCCTGTGCAAGTGAAGCTCCGGCGACCTCAGGAGGTTTCCTGTCGCGGCCCTGAGGGCGGTATTCTGGCAAGCCCGTAGCTTCTTCATCTGCGTCTCGTTTTTCTCCGGCGTAAAGATCGGTGCAGCATAGTTTACGACCGGCCGGCCAACTGCTTTGTAAGTAACCAGCAAAGTTTCTTTATCTTTACCCCAGGTGCTGCGGCTAGCGCTTTGAGTATTTTGTTGCGGCTCTGGAGTTTTGCGGCAATTGCGGTCGTATGCGGAGTGAAGGAGTGCAGGCTGTCTAGAGTTACTCCCAATATTTTTGGGTTATTTACCGTCGGAATTTTTGTGTCATCGACCTTCACATCTAGTTCAAGCCTGTATTCCTTCGTCCAGCTGGTGAAGAGGGTAGCCGAGGATTTTGTCGGTTGGATTCGTAATTGTCTTGCAGTAAAGAAGTGGGAG